TTTGTGCTAGTTCCCATGCTACTGAGGATTTGTTCATAAAGTCTTTTCCTATGCCAATGTCCTCAAGAGTTCTAACTAACCTACGTTCTGGCAAGTTTAGTGTTTCTGTTTTAATATTTAGATCTTTGATCACTTTGATTTTAGTTTAGTGCATGGTGAAAGATATGGGTCTAGTTTTAATCTTTGGCAGGTTGAAATCCAGTTTTTCCAGTGCCATTTATTAAAGAGGCTATCATTCCTCCAGTGAGGGTGTTTGGCTCCTTTGTCAAAGATGAGGTGGCTGAGTATGTCTGAAGTTGTTTCTGCATCTTCTAATCAATTCTACTGATCCTTGGGCCTGTTTTTTTTTTGCCAGTACCATGCTGTTTTTATCACAGTGGCTTTGTAATATAGTTTCAAGTTGGGGATTGTGATACCCCTTGTCATGTCTTTGTTGCCTAGAATTGCTTTTGCTACTCTTGATCTGTTCTGGGTCCAAATGAATTTTTGGATTGTTTTCTATAGTTCTGTGAAATATACTGTCGGAATTTCAATTGGGACTGCATTGAATCTATATAGCAATGTTGGAAGTATGGCCATTTTCACTATATTGATTCTTCCTACCCAGGAGCAAGGGATGTCTTTCCATTTTCTTATATCCTCTTCAGTCTCTTTTTTCAGAGTGCCTCAGTTTTCAAGGTAGAAGTCTTTTACTTCCTTCATTAGATTGTTTCCTCGATATTTTTTTTTTTTGGATGCTATTGTGAAAGGAATTGTTTCCCCAATTTCTCTCTCATTTAATCTATTATTTGTGTACAAGAATGATATTGATTTTTAAGTGTTGACCTTCTATCCAGCTACTCTACTGAATCTGTCAATTAAGTCTAGAAGTCTTTTGACAGTTTTGGGGGTCTTCTATGTAGAGTATTATGTCATCATGAAATAATGACAGTTTAACTTCTTTCTTTCCTATCTTTATTCCTTTTATTTCTTTCTCTTGTCTAATTGCTCTGGCTAATGTTTCCAAAACTATATTGAACAGGAGTGGTGATGGTGGACATCCTTGTCATGTTCCTGATGTTAGCGTGAAAGATTTCAGTTTTTGACCATTTAGTATGATGTTAGCTGTTGGTTTTTCATAGACAGGCTTTATAGGGTTGAGATAAAGACCATCTATTCCAATTTTCTGAAGGGGTTTTATCATGAATGTCTGTTGGATTTTGTTGAATGCTTTTTCTGCATCTATTGAGATGATCAAATGGTTTTTGTCCATGGTTCTATTAATATAGTGTATTACATTTATTGATATACGTATGTTGAATGATGCTTGCATTCTTGGAATGAATCTGACTTGGTCGGGGTGTATGATCTTCTTGTTGATCCTCTGCATTCTGTTTTCAAGTATCTTATTGAGGATTTTTGCATTTATGTTCATTAGTGAGATTGGCCTATAGTTCTCTTTTTCGGTTGGATCTTTCTCTGTTTTGGAATCAAAATAATGCTGCTTCCAGGAATGAATTTGGAAGTATTGCTTCCCTTTCAATTTCAATGAAGAGTTTAAAGAGTAGTTCAAAACATCTTCTTTAAATGTCATGTAGAATTCAGAAGTGAAGCCATCAGGACCTGGGCTTTTCTTTGTTGGTAAATTTTTAATTACATTTTCAATTTCACTGATTGTAATTGGGGTGTTTAGACTTTTTGTATCTTCTTTGTTCAACTTTGGTAATTCATATGTATCTAGGAATCTGTTCATTTCTTCTATGTTTTCCATTTTATTGGAGTACAGGTTTTCAAAGTAGTATTGATGATCCTCTAGAATTTTGCTGTATCTGTTGTGACTTCACCCTTTTATTTCCTAAATGCATGGATTTGAGCCTTTTCTTTCCTTTTTTGATAAGATTAGCTAAGGGTTTGTCAATTTTATTTATTCTTTCAAAGAACCACTCTTCAATTTATTGATTTTTTGTATCATTCTCTTATTCTCCATTTTATTGATTTCTGCTCTTATCTTTATAATTTCCTCCTTTGTATCAACTTTGGGTTTGTCTTGCTCTTCTTTTTGTAGGAGCTTGAGGTTCAGCATTATGTTATTTATTTGGGCTTACTCTGTTTTCCTAGTATGGGCATTCAGTGCTATAAATTTCCCTTGTGAGACTGCTTTCATTGTGTCCCTTAGATTCCTGTATGTTGTACTGGCATTATCATTTAATTATAGAAACTGTCTAATTTCTTCTTTAATTTCCTCTGTGATCCATTGGTTGTTCAGGAGAATGTTATTCAATTTCCATGTGTTTGTGAGATTCTTGGGGCTATTGATCTCCAATTTCATTGCATTATGGTCTGACTATATACAGGGGATATCTTCAATTGCTTTGGATTTACTTAAATATGTTCTATGAGCTAGCATGTGGTCTATTTTGGAGAATGACCTGTGTATAGCTGAAAAGAATGTGTATTCTGATTTTGTGGGGTGGAAGACTCAGTGGACATCTATTAAGTTCCTTTGTTTTAAAGTTTGTTTAGGTTCTAGTATTTCATTGTTGATTTTTTTGTCTAGATGATCTGTCTATTTGTGACAATGGAGTATTGAGGTACCCCATGACAATTATATTAGTGCTTATTTGGTTTTTCATGTCCATTAATATTTGTTTTATATAGTTGGGTGCACTCGTATTTGGTGCATATATATTTATGATTGTCATCTCTTCCTCTTGGATTGTTTCCCTTTACAAGGATGTAGTAATGACCTTCTTTGTCTCTCTTAATTAGTTTTGGTTTGAAATCTACTTTGTCTACAAATAAGATAGCTACCCCTGCTGTTTTCCAGGTTCCAGTCACATGGAGAATGTTTTCCCCCTTTTACTTTTAGTCTATGAATTTCTTTTTTAATTAAGTGTGTTTCTTGTATACAACATATTGTTGGAGTTTGCTTCCTAATCCATTCTGCCAGTCTATTCCTTTTGATTGGTGATTTGAGGCCATTAACATTGACTGGTATATATTGACTTATCTTTGTCAGGATTTTTTCCTGTTGTTGGCTCTTTTATTTTTTATTTTTACCCCCTTTTCATTTAATTTCTTGCCTTGCCTGACGATTTCACTCTGTTGGACCTCATGGAGTTGTGACCTTCATTGTCTATTTCTAGTATATTGTTTAGAATTGTTTGGAATTCTGCTTTAGTATTCATGAAGTTTCGTAGGTGTTCTTTGTCATGGAAGTATCTTATTTCCCCATCAACTTTGAAAGATAAGTTTGCAGGATACCTCAGTCTACATTGGAGGTTGTTTTCTTTAAGGACTTGAAATACTTCACTCCAGGCTCTCCTTGACTTGAGGGTTTGTGTTGAAAAGTCTGCTGTGATTCTGATGGGCTTTCCTTTATATGTGATTTGTTTCTTTCCTCTAACTGCTTGTAGAAGTTTGTTCTTCTGTTGGGTTTCTGGGATTTTGACTATTACATGCCTAGGTGTAGATTTTTTTGATCATGGTTAGTTGTAGTCCTATGAGCCTCACTTAGGTGTATGTAAAATTCTTTTGCTCTGCTTGAGAAGTTTTCTGCCATTACTTTTGTGAACAATTTTTTAAAAATGTCATTTGTACTTTTCCCTGCTTTTTTGTGGACTTCTATCAGTTTTATATATTCTTCTTTACATCATCTAGCAGCTGTTGGATTGATTTCTCATGGTCCCTTACTATTTTCAAGAAATCTCTCTTTTCATGGTCACTAACCACAATCCTGTCTTCTACAACTGATATTCTGTCTTCACATTGGCCCATTCTGCTGCAAATACTTTCAATGGAGTTTTTAATCTCTTGGATATCTGAATCTGTTTCATGGATTCCATTTCTTTCCTATGTTGGGTGTTCATGGTTTCCATTTCTTTTCTATTCTAGGCATTTATGGTTTCCATCATGGTCCTGAAGTCATTTATTTTTTTATCTGTTTCTGTTCTAGAGTCTCTAATTATGTCTTTCATTCTGCTCACCATCTCTGTAGTTATCTGGGAAATTATTTCTGTTTTGAATTTTTCTGGACTCTGGTTCATCTGTTTTGTTACTTCCTGTGCCCTCAGTTCAGGGTGTCCAGGTGGTTCATTATCAGATTTTCCACCTCGTTGCCCCCAGAGTTTGCCTTTGGTGAGCTGAGAGACTGGGTTTTAACCTTGTTTAGTTGTCTTCATATTTTTATTTTTGTTGTTGATGCTGTTTTTGGTTTAATTCCTGGGTTGATACTTCAATATTGCTTGTTGTGAGTATCTTTATTGCTTGTATTTGGAACCCTTGTGGAATGATTACTTCTCAGAGGTATCTTCCAGGTATAGCTGGTCTTTAGGTTTTGAATCTCTAATGACTCTTAGGCAATCTTTTTTTCAGTATACCTGGAAGGACAACTGATTAGATCAATTATGACACCTTAGCCCAAGTGATACAATCAGCATCAACAGTAGCATCAAACACAGCTTAGAAAAGGACAATTTGTGGTAGCTATTAATCTGTCACCTTTACATGTGTGAACTAGATCAAAATCAAGAACCAGCCCAAAATATATTTTTAGTAAATAAACCTTTCAATATAGCAAATTTACCCTTCAAGATGAGGACTTAGAAGGAGTTGGGGAGGGAGGAATAGAGATATATAAGGAGAAGGAAAGGTTAGAAATGAGGCTAGAGGACACAGGAAGATCACACAGACTTTGGGAAACTGTTGAAGACAAGAGGAAAAGACTGAGTGAAGAAACAAAGACAAGAACAGCAATAGGGAAGCTAGAAACTATTCACTTTCCTATAAAAATAATGACAATCAAGAGAAGGAAAGAGAGAGAAAAAAAATTCAAAATAGGACAGGAACAGGAAAATAAAAGGGAGAGAAATGAAGAACAAGAAGGGAGAGAGAGAGACAAAAAAGGAGCCTCCTTTGAGGTATATCTCTGCTGTCATAGTAAACAATGTGGGCAGCACTGTGCAGATCTAAGTCAGTTAGTCTCAGCAAGCCAGCTGTATTCCACTGAGATTCAGGCTGATTTCTGGCTGCAAAGCCCAAGTTGAGCTCCCTGACCGCTTATAGGATTGAACTCTGCAAGTTTCTACCACATGTTGAAACCACCCTTTCCCCGAAGCAAGTCTGGGTTCTGCTGGGAAGTGCTGATCTCACCAACTTACCAACCACAATGATTTGGTGTGTCTTTATTGCAGATATTTTCTTCACTTTCCCAATGGGCTTCAAATTTCATCAAGGAGCCTCAGAGTGGCCCTCACTCTGTTGCTCACTTCTGCTCCATCTTCTGGGAGTCATAACAGTGGCCTTTATGGCCCAGGTACCTCTATGGTGTGGATCCAAATAGGGCCCACTTGGCAGTCCGGGGTCACATATGGCAGTCCAGGGGTGGCTGTCCCTCCACGCAATGGTATCGGGGCAATGGGGGTGGTCCTGGGCCTCCACACGACAGTGCTGGGGCAACTGAGCTCCATATGGCCTCTTATCATTCACATTCATCATTTCATTGATCCCCAAAACAGCTCTGGAAAAAATAGAGAGAAATCAATATACCCATACCAACAAGGTAAAAGAGCAAAGCTCACACAGGTTGTAAGCTTATACAATGTGATCAAAAAATACAATGACTGTTTACATTTTTAAAGTTTATTACAGTGAGAGACACATTGCCATTAATCCTCCTCAAAATAGCCCCTCACTTCACACACATTTATGCCATTATTTCTGTCACTTGTTGAAGCAGTTCTGGAAGTTTTCTTTGGTGTCTTTTGTTTCCCTGTCATGGCTGCCTGAATGTCCTAAATCAATTCAAAATGGTTACCTTCCACGGTCATTTTGAATTTGGAGATGACCAGATGTTGCATGGTGGATGAGGACACCCCATAATGTTTTTACAAGCCTGCTTTTCCACTGCATGAAATTTGGCAGCTCCATTTACCATATTTTTTTATTATACTTTGTAAGGTCATTCACAAAAGGAGGACTTCTAGAACTGCTTTAGAAAATGGCAAAAATGATGGGAAAGATATGTTTAAAGTGAAGCAAAATATTTTAAGAAAGATTAATAGCACTGTTTCCTTCACTGTAATTTTTAAAATTTAAATATTTGCCATATATTTTGATCATTCCTTGTACATACAGCTTGAAATCTAACTGAGCTAGTACTTAAACCCAAATCTTCCCATTCAAAATCCAGGGTTCTCTTTATTACACCATAATGTCTTTGTATGAATTAGCTTATTTGCTGCTAGCAATCCTTCTGGAGAAAAATTTTAAAACCTATTTCATACTCTTGCTACACAGGCAAACAGATCTCCTGTAGCCTCATATCATTACCTCCAACTACTTGAATGAATAGAGATAGCACCTCATCCTGCTGGGGCATCCATACTGGGGCAGCCTGACAAGTCAAAGGGCAAACTAAGGACAATGGAGAGCCTCACTAGTGTTCATGGCTCTTTTACCAAGAACATCTGAGAACTACCAGAGAAGTTGGTTTGGAACACACAAGTATCTTTCTATCCAAACGACATTTCTCCACCAACAGAAACATCATAAAATATACTCTTAATCTAATCTGTGGCCCATCTCAGATGACCAAGTGCCATAACTTCTGAGGTGTACTGAACTCTGTAGTCACTGCTTCAGATGTGCAGTGCCCATCCTGGACCTGCTTTCCTGAGCCTACATCTCTGGCCCAAATGCCTACCTCAACTTCACAGGCTCTTCAAGTAAATACTATAGCAGTAAATTCCCATTTCTTTAAAGTTAGAGATTTTGTTGGTTGCCCTGCATTTGGTTCTCATTACACACTCATCAACACAACAATAGTTGCCCCTAATGCTTAGAGCAACTGTTTGCTAACCATTATATGTTCTGGTTGGCAGACAAAAGAGAAAAAAGATGAGTCCTCCATTCCTTTTCCTTTCACTATGCCATCCTTCAAACATGCATGGCACATCATAACTGTATATCTAATAAAGAGAAGAATGGATCACCTGAATGAAGAGAACTACAGTCAGGAAAGCTGGATCAGACCTTCACTTCTATTAATGAAAACAAACATTTATAGTGTTCCATTATACAATGAGGACACTGAGTTTGTTAGTAAGGATACAAAAGATATAATACATTTTTGATGTACATGAATTATTTCTTTACCTTTCATCCCCAAATTGCAGTCAAACAGATCAATGAAAACAAGAAACCCTCCTAGAGAAATAGGGCCTTTCATTTCAGAAATTTCAAAGATCCTTTGCAAGAAATAATTGGACCCAACCCCATTCCACAATCAATAGGTGGAAAATGCAACATTGGCCATAAATGTCTCTACCTCTACCTCTTCCAGTCCAACCTACCACAATCACTTGATTAAGTAACCATTTTGCTTTACTCATTTAATTCTTTAGTCTTTAGAGAGCTCGCCAGATGTGTCTTTTATGAGAAAGCATCTATGTGGCTACAGGATGGCCTTTTCCCTTGGTAACTTTCCAAGGAGTATAGGATGATCTTGGAACAAATTAGTAGATGTAATCATAGGAGATAAGTAGCTTTAGGTTTAGATTTAAATCAAACTGAGTGAGTTTTCTCAGAATATTTATGACTTTCTGCACTTTAAAGGCAAGAAGATAAAATCCTATGTTCTCCATGAAACTTGTGGGTCTCAAGATTGTCATCCTAGGTCTGGCACCACCTTAGTCCTTATGGAGCGTCAACAAGGCTGGTTTTTTGCAGTAGACTTAATCTGTTTTTCTCTATAAACTTTCAGGATAGTTTTACATCTGGGGATAAATATACTTTCCCCTCAACAGTTTGAGCTGATCTTGATCCTATAAATGTGGAGAAATTGGACCTCCATGTATTGCTGGTGGGAAACTTTGGAAAACCATTTGGCCACCCCTTAAAATGCTAAGCATAGGAGTTTTACTGCTAGGCATCTACCCAAGAGAAAAGTTTCACAAAGAAATGTGTACACAAGTGTTCACAGAAGCATTATTCCCAAAAGCCAAAAAATAGAAGCAACTCAAATAAATGATCATGAGTAGATGGACACCTTTTAAAAATATGTATGATATATCCATACAATGAAATATTATTCAGCAATGAAAAGTAGTACAGTACTGACACATGTTACAAAAAGGTTGAACCATAAAAGCATGCTAAGTGAAAGAAGACACTCCATACAATAAATGGTTATGAAAGACTACATCATGTATGATTCCGTTTATACAGACTGCCCAGAATAGTCAAAACCATGAAGTTAGAAAGTAGATTAGTGATTGCCAGAGGCTGAGGTAGAGGAAAAAATGGAGATTGACTGCTAATGAGTATAAGGTTTTGGAGGGGTTGATGAAAATATTCCAAAATCACTGGTGGTAGATGCACAGTATCATGAATATACTAAGAATCACTGAATTGCATACTTTATTTTCACATACAAGTAGATATTAATAAAGAAAATATTTAAGAGTTCCAGGTGGATGGGGGGATGCTGAGCTGCTTGTGTGGATTCTCCTGGCCCAGTCAACACTGGGGCGGAGGAGTCAGGCACCCAGGCCTGCATCCATCGCTGAGCCCTCCTCACCCCACACCATCAGGCCTTGACTTTTTTTTTCCCCATTTACTTTATTGGTACATTTTAGGTATAAAATACAGTTACATTCATCATTGGGATCTTGTACCATTACATGAGT